AAAAAACACAACTTCGTGAAAACATAATGTAACTCTATCCATACGTCGCCTGTATGTCAAGACTAAAAAACACAAAATCAACTTCGTGAAAACATAATGTAGCTCTACCAAGACGTCGCCTGCATGTCAAGACTAAAAAACACAACTTCGTGAAAACATAATGTAACTCTATCCATACGTCGCCTGTATGTCAAGACTAAAAAACACAAAATCAACTTCGTGAAAACATAATGTAGCTCTACCAAGACGTCGCCTGCATGTCAAGACTAAAAAACACAACTTCGTGAAAACATAATGTAACTCTATCCATACGTCGCCTGTATGTCAAGACTAAAAAACACAAAATCAACTTCGTGAAAACATAATGTAGCTCTACCAAGACGTCGCCTGCATGTCAAGACTAAAAAACACAACTTCGTGAAAACATAATGTAACTCTATCCATACGTCGCCTGTATGTCAAGACTAAAAAACACAAAATCAACTTCGTGAAAACATAATGTAGCTCTACCAAGACGTCGCCTGCATGTCAAGACTAAAAAACACAACTTCGTGAAAACATAATGTAACTCTATCCATACGTCGCCTGTATGTCAAGACTAAAAAACACAAAATCAACTTCGTGAAAACATAATGTAGCTCTACCAAGACGTCGCCTGCATGTCAAGACTAAAAAACACAACTTCGTGAAAACATAATGTAACTCTATCCATACGTCGCCTGTATGTCAAGACTAAAAAACACAAAATCAACTTCGTGAAAACATAATGTAGCTCTATCAAGACGTCGCCTGGATGTCAAGACTAAAAAACACAACTTCGTGAAAACATAATGTAGCTCTACCAAGACGTCGCCTGTATGTCAAGACTAAAAAACACAACTTCGTGAAAACATAATGTAGCTCTATCAATTCTAAATTGTCGTCTGCTAAGTAACACCTGTTGATAATGACCCAGTGGTGATGATAACATACAGAAGAAATCCTACCCTGTGTACTTTATATTATCTGGAGTGAGAACTCGAGTCCAAAAGCCCAAGATTAAACTGTTAATGTCAGTACCAGTCCCTTTCTAATTTTTGTCTGCGCGGTCCCAAATCTGAATTTAATGAACTATATTTTGTTCTACTTACTTTTCCAATTCGTTTTCAGTTTTCTTGGGATCACCTGAGGAAATAATGTAGATGACGCTTTCTGTTTGGTGAACACTGAAAGAATAGGGAAAATAATTACTTTGTTAGGAATTACGCGTGTAAAAAGATACCAGGTCAAGCGTGAGAAAATAATGATGATTATTTTAATTGAGATTTATTTAATCTATATACTGTATGTTCCTATCAGAGTCATACAACAGTTTCAAAGTGGACCATTGCTACTGTCTCATTACATGAACCGACCAATACACTAGATGTCATGTGACAGGGCACTCAAAATGTGGCAAAGGAAGTGTACGGACGACATGCAATTTAAACAAAAATTGTAATTAATCCTACCTTGTACTGACTGTATTTGTAGGAGTAATGAATGACTTGTCCTCGCTTTCTTCCTCTTCAAGTGCAGTGTACGTTGTTTTGCCTGTCAGAACCTAGTTAGATAAACAGAAATCGTAAGTTATCACCGACGATACACAAGAACCATTTCATTCTGATATCTGGATTTTGACAAAGAACAGTTTTCTCAACTCTCCTGCCTCGGTCAAACGAGAACCAGGGTTGAATGAGAGGTGATGAGAGTTTACTGGATATTATACCGCACGTGTAGTAAAAACTCTCATCAAAATTTGAACCACTATCATCAGCTCTCATAACTCTTATCATCATTTGATCGAGGCTTTACTTTAATAAGCTGACGTAATGAAAAACATGCAGTCGTCACAGGCAGCTTCAGGTAGCAAAAAATCTAGACTCTAAACTATAAATACACATCTAGGAGAACCAGAATTGTTTTCCAGACATTAGCAACTGGTTTGTGATGAGAACTTGGCTACTCACCCTGTAGTAAGGCACCAGTCTTCCTCTCCGACAACATTTGATAAATATACACACGCAGATAAGAATCATGAGAAAACCAACCAATAAACCCAAGAACGCCCCAAGTGCAAGGAAACCATATAAATGTTCATCCTAACAAGAAGGTGGAGGAAATTTTGTATAAAATAACATGAATAACAGTACTTCCAAACATCACAGGTTTCCTCCGTTTATTCTGGTGTAAACACTAAAACGCTAAACAATCAAGATAATGTTTTATACCGAGGACGAGTCAAGAAAGCCACTTGTATGAAATGAATCTCATTTATAAGAACTAAAACTTAGTTCTCACCCTTTCTTTGATTGTGTCATTGCGAGCAACACATGCATCAGAATTGATTTCAGGGCCATATGCAGGACTGTTTAACTAGACAGAAAAAATAAAACAAAATGTTGAGATGGCTAACACAGTTCCATATCGTTTCCTTTATCAGATGAAAAGTCTATTATTATATCTGGAAGGGGTAAACTAATAGGGTGAAGAAACTCAATGTTATCAAAGTGATTCAACCAGGGCCGGATTAACGTTCCGCGGGGCCCGTGGCATATAATCAGCGCGGGGCCCCTTGACCCCCCCCCCCCAACGGCATTTTAGACACTGAATTCAGTCAGATTAAAAAAATATTCTGTTGTATTTCATGCGTTGAAAAATTTCGTTTTGTATTTAGAAAAGAAAAAATAATTATACATCAATGATTTGATTGATTCCGAAATTCAACCCAGTTTGTACCATTAACATCATTATTATTTACAGAGAAAAAATAGCTAAACATGATAGCGTCCATGTAAACTTCTGCCGTTTTCCACAAAATTCAGCAATCTAGTATTTAACAGTTTACTGCAAATTTTAAAATTTTCTGACCCCTATGATTTTTTGGCTTCGCTTTTTGGAGCCCGTTGCCCAAAGAAGTAACAAAAAAATTTGTTTGCGGCCCTGCTTTTGGAACCTCGTTTAAAAATTATGGAGCCTCGTTTAAATTTTCGGGAACTTGGGCTCTTTGGGGCCCCGCACTGGCGCACTGTTTGGGCCCCGCGCTGAAACAGGGGAAAAAACGTTTGGGACCCCGCTTTTTGGGGCTTCGCTTTTTAGATTTTGGCGGACTTTGGCTCTTTGGGGGCCTTGGACTCTTTGGGGCCCCGCGCTGTTTGGATCCCGCGCTGAAACAGGGAAAAAAACGGTTTGGGGCTGCGCTCTTTGGTGTCTAGATTTTTAAATTTTGAGGTCTGACATCTTTCTAGGGACCTTGGCCTCTTTAGGGCCCCGCACTGTTTGGGCCCCGCGCTGAAACACTGAAACAGGGGGATAAAAGTATGTGTACGTTTGGGGCACCGCTTTTTGAGGCCTCGCTTTTTAAACTTTGGGTGACTTGGCTCTTTGGGGCCCCCACTGGAGCACTATTTGCATGGGCCCCACGCTGAAACAGGAAACAAAAAAATCGGATTAAAATAGAAGAGAGTGAGCGCGGGGCCCCCAAAAGCGCCGGGCCCGCGGCATATGCCGCTTCTGCCATATGGTTAATCCGGCACTGGATTCAACCTCGTAAGCCAGGCTCTACTTTGCTCCTACCCGAACACGCCATGGAGGTAAAGATCCTGGTTTACAAATGTTGTCAAACGTTTGTTAAAAATACCTGTGCACTTCGCCATTTCACCGATGCAGTTTTCCGAATGTATTTTGGTGTCTAAAATAAAACAGAACGACAAACTGTAACGACAGCCAACGCCTATATCTCGAGTGTGCACCGGGAAAAATGTTACATCAAAATTTGAAGAAAGGGAATATTATTACAAGAAAGGGAGTAAAAGAATATTTGTACTAACCTTGATGGTAACTTTAAATTTTGATTTATAGTAAAAATGAACTGTTTCACCAACTGTAAAGAAAATTAGGATTTCATATGTTTATAAATTCCACATTATCAACTTATTTGACAAAGGACAAGAGCACGAGAAGCGGTTCGGGACAGGACTAGAGACGGGTAAAAAGAAAAGTTTAGGAAGGAAATAGATTTTCAATTCTTAGTTTGTAGTCGCAGTCAAACTAGAACTACTTGAAACATTAATAAAATATTAGCCTACCTGCAATTATAGGGATATTACTGCTGAACTTGTACACATTATTAGTGGGTGCAGATATTTCAATTCCAGGAAACTCGTTATCACGAATAACGTTCATGCCCTCAATGAAGTCAGTAACGTTGACATCATAAGCATCGTACAATGAGCTGGGTGTGTGACTGATGTTAACGTAAAATATCCCACTTGGTGAATCTAAACTCGGATTTATAACCTGAAAGATAAATGGAGTTAAGCTTTCTCTTGTCTTTGTCTTCTATCAATTTTATCTACGTAAGATTAAACTAATCCAAATCAAGCTAACTTTATTTATACTGGAGTGCTCTATTAATTGTTATCTAATATTAACTGTTGTCCCTAGAAATCGAGAATATTTTAAGGGCCCATGTTTACAATATTATTGCAGTAAAACAAGAAGAAGTCTTCTCACACGAAGCAAACTATAATCAGGCAACTATATTACCTCCTTGAATGTAGTTTGTTGGGGAATAGACTGTTGTACTATTTATTGCCCACAATGACTTCTTGTGCATGTGGTTATCAGTTCCTCGTGTTTCATGCTCAGTTGGGTCAAGGATTGAGCTTAAGACCAGAGGGAAATGTGCTCGAAACATGGGGGTACAACCTTGATGTGCGCCTGCAATACTAAAACAGGAAAACATGGAAACGAGGCCATAGGTGCAATAACTTCCCCACGAAGGGCCTTCGCTCTGTTATTTTGAAATCAGTTAAAAAATCAGCAACGAATGTGATCAAGGCACAATTACCTGAAACGATTTAGCCAGCTGAAGAAGTGGTTTCACCAGTGGTCCAACGACAGAGAATGTGGCTGTTTGAGAAACAGAGCCTCCAGGATAATGCACCGTACTCAAAAGATCAAAACTTCTACCACTGAATATAACAGGTTCATTTGCAACCAAGAACTTAGCTTGTACGGTCAGAACATCGTTTTCGGAGTTGATGTTGTCAGGTTGATTGGTAACGCTGGGAAATTCCACGGTATATGTGTTATCAACCAGGGATTTAGTCATTGATGGTATGATAAGGTTGCCTCCATTTCTATACGACGTTTGCGATGCGTCTGGTGTAAGAATGTTGATTTGGCTTGCGCGTTTTCTCCTATAGAATACAGAACAGTCGGTGGTGGTCAGTTTATTAAAGCTGGACAGAAGCTTACTACAGTACGTTGTGCTGATTGTACTGATTAAATCGAACCAACCCCCACAGGCGTCTCTTTGATAATGAGATTAAAGGCCGTTTTCCACTAAGCGGAATTTTCTGCGCGCAGCGTTATTTCTCTTTGTCTTTTCTAATTAGTTCCACCCGAGAAATCAAAAGACAAGGAAAAATTCCGCTCCGCGTGGAAAATTCCGCCTAGTGGAAAACAGCCTTAAAATTGTACATAATCTTCCGTTTGGATAACTCCCGAACAACGTCTTATGTCGTCACAAAATTCATATTTCATAATAATACACCGTAAAAACAAACTGGTTAAAACAACCAATACACTGATTATCTCATATTCAAAATGAACCTCAGACAACCATTTTGTTGGTAGCCTGCGCGCAGACTATATAATGACATATATAGTCTGCGCGCAGGCTATTTTGTTGGTTGTTTTGACCAATTTGTTTTTCCGGTGTGCGGAGTCTCGCATACGGACGACGGACACTAAAATGTCAGCTTCAGAGAGTATAGTAGTAGAGCTCCAAACACATGGAAAAGTTAATCTCTTCGTCTCACTGTTTTTGATAATGAACACTAAAAACTGGCAGTGAAATTTTAAAACTCATGACATGACAAGATGACATGATGGTCTCTATAAAAGGAAATTGCTAGATATTATTGCTAGTGCTTATTTTTTAAGGTAGTAATATAACCACTCAGCACAGCAATTGCTAGATAGTATACTTCAAAATAAGATTTCCGGGGTTTTTTCGATTTTTAAAATAATTTAGAGTTAGGTTAGGGTTAGGTTAGGGTCAGGGTTAGTGTTAGGGTTTAGTTTTGCGTTAGGATAGTTTTTTCTACGTTATAAAAACTGAAACCTTATTTCGAAGTATACTATCTAAGTATACCTCTATAAAACCGACGCCTCTCTATATGAACACTTTGCTCTGTCCCATTGATGTCGCGTATTTGAGAATCGAGGGAATGGCAAGACTATTTCCTTAATTTATAAAAAAGCCATTGCAACACCAACCTGGCCGATCTTTTTCCTCTTGCGTTGCTGGCGATAGTTGGAATTTCATAATCAACCCTGAGATTGGTAGTAACTTCAGGCAGCACAATCCTCATATTAAACTCCAATACATCACCACATAGTACTTGAGACGTGCTTCCATTTGCAGAAAACTGCATACTTAATTCCTTAATAAATATTTCATTCTCGTCTTGAGATGAATATCCTTGATACTCGTGTTGGTGACTAGTTGGAAGACAGTGATAGGTTAAAGTGGACGTAAGTTCGATCCTCTGAGATGGCTCCACAATGTTTAAGGTTGTTTTTATATCACATTTTATCTCTTCGCCGTACACAAAAGTTCCAGCTTCTACTTGAATTGTCTCAAGTTGGCTACTCGCGGTTTTGCTGAAGCTTCCTTGGTTGCAGACGACGAAAATGTGTTTAAAAAGTGTTGTTGATAATGATAGCACAATCTTCACAGTGTGGGCAGTGGGTTTTACATTACCGACTCCAATGTTTTTTAGAGTGATAGTATAGTTCAATATATCACCAGCGTCGAACTTTCCCTCATTGTGGGAATGGAACGAGAAGTTTAAGAAAGGATCTGGACGGAACGTGAGGAATGTCGGCTAAAGAGAAGGAAATGGAATTATTATAAACAGGAATGTTTCATGTTTTTAATGTACAAAGAATTTCCATCCAAAACAAAATATACTCCGTCTTTAGTAAAGAGGTTCAGATTTGACAACCACAATCTCTCTTAGTACCCATCTGAATGGTTCAACTGATATATCAAACGCATCTGATTGGTTGAAGTGATATATCAAACGCATGTGATTGGATGAACTGATATACCAAACGCATCTGATTGATTGAACTGATATATGAAACGCATCTGATTGGCTGATGGTCCCTTAATGGTAGTGGTTAGTGGACGTGGAGTATGTTTTGTTTTCCACGAAATGATAGAACAGTTTATCTTAATAAGAATGGCCGAATTGATAATAGAGGCGGACGATCTGTCTAGATGAATTTGGGAAAAGCAATTCTAGCTCGTCTGATAAATTGTAGGTAACCCTCGATTTTACTCCGACTTACACTTACCTGTGACGTGGGACCGTATGAGTATTCTCTTGCTAATGATTGGTTCAAATTCTTTGGAAGGCTTGTATATGACATAACAAACGATGAAGGTATGAAAATACTCGCAGGTAAAGTTGAACTTGTTCTTGCTTTGTATCTTATTTCTCTTGTACTCTCAGAAACGGCATCGTTTTCATATATTATCACTGTGGAATTGATATCTTCCGGGCTATATAATAAAAATAAGTTTGCTTTGTTAACTATTTCATAAACGAAGTTATACATCAAATTCTCTTAGGAATAATCATGAAAAAAGATCGGTGAAGGTTGGTTGAGTATTCTCTCGGATGCAGCTTTAATATTACCTCAAGAACTGTATAGGACTCTGATTTCCAGGCACAGTTCGCAGTGTTCCAGATTGAGAAGTATACTCCGTGAGTATTAAATGTGGTGATGGTACAGCCAGAAGAAGCACCAAATTGAATGCCGTTGATTTAGAAACCGAAGTGCGTCTGATGGTGGCCACAAAACTCATTTCCGCATGTTGATTCACGTCTTTACTTGGACTGACCACTGCTGAAGCCGAGAATGATGGTTCAACAACCTAACAAGTGTATGTAGATATAAACGTAGGCAAGTTTCGGTCCGGCTTAAATAAATAATTTCCCTCAGCTTATCATTGTCAGCTCATCTGCCGGTTAGGGATTAAAGCGCCGCGAAGGGCTCGGGAATTTTCATGAGTTAACTTGTACAAGTTATTTTTGGCCAAAAACAAAATTACAAAAAACTATCAAGCTCCAAACAAAACATCATTTGAAACAAATGTAAAATTTACCTCAAAATCCAAGTATGATCTGTAGTTTCTATTGCCAGGATTGTGGTAAACTTTTGAGGTAAGTAGGATTGTTTCACCGTTAAAGTTAGCATTAATATCTTTGACGAAGAATGTCACTTCTACAATAAAGGTCGAGGCATCAGCTTGTGTTGAGTTTCCATTACTACTCACGGTACCAAACTGCCCGAAGAATACAGGAGAAGAACTCGTGTACGGTGCGATTCCTGACGTTACGTTTAAACCTGAAAAGAAAAAAGAAGAGATATATTGGATGGTGTCAAACTGGACACCTCAATAATACACCAGGGATTTTACGAGCACTTTTCTGCTACCTGCAACATCAGACAATTCACTCGTTGAATGAAGAGTCATAGGCTCTCAATGAACGGTGTATTAGGATATTAATAGGTTCAAAAAAGAGCGAGAAATTGTATTTTGAAATACCCAGGTAAAAGGACTTGACATTCTTATAGTAAAGGTCAAATGTAAAAGCACAAGTAACCATACCTATCCCTTCATGTAACTATACCTATCCCTTCATGTACCAATACCTATCCCTTCATGTAACCATACCTATCCCTTCATGTAACCCATCTCCTGCCACGTTTTCTCCAACGTGAAGCAAGGTGGCTCGGCCGTAGCTCACGGAGCTATCACTGCCGACTACAATAACAAAATCTTCATTCGTTGTCACGGGAATTGCTCCATTCATTCGACAGGTAAACTACATGTGAAAAGAGAAATTGCTGTCGTAAAGTGGAATTATCGGTGACGTTGTATTTTGAGCCCAGAACAACTTTTTGGTAGTCGTTTTGACTCTTCAGTTTACAGCGTGCCTTTTTTGTGAGTTAATTTAGTTTTCCTGACACACAAATTTACGTTACACATTGCATAACGAGTTATCGTAAGTATACATATCGTTGTCTTTTCTATTATTTCGATTAGGAGAATAATCTAGAAATACACAGGCATGTATGGGTTTATGCTTGGCTCATTGTGCAAAGTGTGGTGTATATTTATTAGCACTGTATATCAAATGGAGTGCATTATCAATAAGAGTTTTGGCGATTCTTTGTAACGAAACAAATATAACTCTTTTCTCATTTAAATAATTTGAATTCCTACCTTCTCTCCAATGGCAGCAATTCGTTGAGAAGTTGTGTCTACTGATGACGAGATGACCTGAGTTGATACAGTTATTGCTTGAGTTTTTACAGATAAATATACAGCGTCTGAAACTGTCAACCATCTCTTTCGATTATACATTACGTTGATTTGATTAGCGAGTGTCTCACTGGCTGGAACTGAGGCAAGGATCACGCTTACACCATTGCCAAATACACCGAAGCCTGCTGTCAAACTGGAAGGGAATAAATTACAACTATTAGGAAGTGTGACGATCAGTGGCGACACTGAGAGGTGGGGGTAGAAATCGTAGTTCCTTGGAATTTCGTGCAATATAGTTTAATTCGAAGAAACAACACCCACTTGGGCGAATATGCTCCGCAACATGACTGACGATAGTTTTTTTTTCAACTCGCTTATTCGCGCAAGCAAATTGTCGAGAGGAAGACAAGCTCTCTATTATATCCTAACATTCTTAAGTTGTGCTTACTTCTATTTGAACATTGCTCAAAAATACTTTGTCTACTTTGTTTAACCGAGACTAAGCAACACTTACTTGGCAATGGCAATATTAAGACTTGTCGTTGTGTTGCTGATCGTCAACAAAGGCCAAGTATTCACGCAATATGCAGGTGTATCCCTAGACACATTACAGACTTTAACATCAGAGTTTACCAAAGCCATGTGTTCACTTGCAAACGATACATCCAGAGTCACACTGGCACCTTCACTTGCAAAGTATGGATTATAAAACTGGAACAGACACTTTATTTCCAGACCACCTTCTATTTTTCCATCGTCCTTTTCGAAACTCATATCATACTTCAATTGTGGCTGTGCCAGTTCTGTTTCAAGCCACTGTGGAGACTCGATTGTTTCATCACCAAGCGCTGTTGAATAAATCAGCCATGAAGTTATATTCCCGAAAACGCCTGGTATATACACATCATAACGGTCAGTAGCATCGATTACACCAGTTACCGAAAGGATAACACTTTTCTCTGCAGTTGCCGGTGATGTAACGGTCTTTCCAAATTTGAAACTGACCAATGTGGACGCTTTTGGATTTAATGATTCAATTTCAGCAAGCACAATATTACTGCCAATACCAGAACCCGATCGTAAATTTGAAGATCGGATGTTCGGATGCATATTTTTAACACTTGCCAGGATTATTTTAAGCGGGATTGATCCATTATAGACGGGGAGTTGGACAAACACTTTGATGTCAGTGGTGACACTGGGAACAATGAATTTTGCATTTAGGGTAATTTCCTCATCGTCTGTAAGTAAAGTTCCTGGCGTCCCCGAGAAAGTTGTTGAGATAGATTGCAAACTTTGGAATTGTAATCCAGGAACAGTAAAGGAACCAATCCATAATTCCTTATCAACACCATCAAATTTAACGTCACCAGTGATATTTAATAATTGCTTTGGTACAACCCTTTCACTGACAGAGGCAGAAATTACCATCGAACCATTCCAGCTGACATTCGAGAATTGGACGTGAAGTTTAAGGCTCGGCTTACTAGCATGTTTTGTATCGGTGCTATTAACGACATACTTTGTACAGTTTAAAGTAACATTGGTAAAATCATGAGTGAGTCTTAAGCTCTCAACTGAGTTAATATCAAACTCACTTGGCAAGTGTACATCAATTTCCAGTGTTTGGTATGTGAGGTTAAAATACTCAGGGGGATGGATAGTCGGTTTATAGCTCACCAAAGGTGTTGTAGAATTTACACAGTAAGAGGACGTAATATTCTGGTAAACGTTCTTCACAATTTCTGTGATATTGTTTGTGACATTTTGAAGAAGACTCGAATTTGTAGTGTTTAATAAACTCCAGTTGCCGGCGAATAATGTTGAATTTGCTGTCGCATTGGCGAAACAGTTTATCCCATCGCTGCTGTTGCAAGTGTAATTTGCCTCGACAATTCGTGTAAAATTCGTGCAGTTTACAAACATTTCTCCACCACTATAAAAAACTGTGTTTCTTAGCTCTTCGACATAATTACAATACTCGTTGAATTCGCTCTGACGTTGTTCATTAACGCCGCTGAAAATAGCTCCACTTTCATAGGATATTCTCACTTCAAACTCAATGTTTGTTCCGCCTTCAATCAGCTTTTGTGATTCACTCGACTGCAGCTGAACTTTCAATGATGTCCCAGGAATGGCTTGGAATATCGCTTGACTTAGTGGATCCACTTGTGCCAGAGCAAACCAATTTTGAAGTAGGAATACAACAGTTAAATTAATTGCGAATACGATCGTCCGAAAAATAGCCATACTTGAGACACGTTTGATAATTGAAGTATTTGAAATCAAAGTACTTGGAATATTCGCTGTCTTGAAAGCCCAAGGCCACTTGGAAATGTAAATTTAATACACATACAAGTCAGCATGTTCTGGCTGTTTCTTGAGGAGATGTGTGAATTTCATGAAAAATGTTTGATGTATTCGTCACCTGCCATAACCTAACTAAACGTTGCCATGTAGACGACGCCAAATCACCGTGTGGTCAAGTATTTATGCAAAATATTTTTTAAGCCTGTTTATTGTCAAGTAGCACTGACCGTATAATTGTCTAATTTAGAACTTCGTTACCTTTGAACTTGGATTACAGACTTTTTTATCGGGTTTAATAGGGAAAAGTAATTGTGAAAAGCACAATTATTTCAAAGACGTTATTTTGAAATGTATATTTTGTTTGAGGTTATTAAATCAATTGTAGATGCGAACCTCCAAATGGCGCTCTGTTGAACTATTCCGTTTTAATTTACCCAAAATAGTTTTAATTCATGAATCGCACTATCCCAGCGAGAACGAGGTATTTTTATAAAGCGCTAACTTAGGGGGTTGTATATCCCGATATCTCCATATTGTTACTAATGTTTAGAGTAAACAGAAAGTAGCAAATTAAAATTTAAATACCAAATTAGACACGTTGAATAAATATTACAGTTTCCGCGTGCAAACTTATGTCCAATTTCAAAAAATATTTATTACTACATTTTTTACATACAGTACTATAATACAAAAGCTGAAAACCTCACCCTTTAGTAAAATTGAAGCTTTATACGAAGTTTAACTGGTACTATAAACCACAATTTGCAAAGCGATCTTAATCACGAAAAAGCCCCGTATTAGCGGCTTATATAATATTAGGAAATAATCATTCATGTCAACGTTTTATTGTACGAGTGTGTAATTGACATTTTTGAACCCTTAGTAGAAAGTTATATACACCACTGGTTTATTTCAGTATTTAACAAAACGAAGTTTACAGTGGATACATTTGAAATGTATAGCAACACAATGCATACTCTAAAAATGTTGACCTATTAACATAAGATTATAAATGTTTCTCTTAAGTTGGCCTGTCGTTTGAGTCAATGCTTTAATGCTGGTCGCCCATATAGACTAGCAATATAATCTTACTATCTTAGTGAAAATATTTTTAAAATTAAGAAACCCATGAGACAATTGTCAAAGATTACTTTATACTAGAAATGCCCTTCACCTTGTATTTTTTGGCAATTATTATATTTCTTTTCAGTTTGAGAAAAGATCGTCTATTTTCCCCGTGAAGTTTGCCACCCATAACTGGCTGATAAGGCCTGGTTGCATGGCGTGAGAAATGCTGATTGAACAATTGTTGAATAGAAGTATTGATCAAATGCCTGCCTTGGCCGTGATCATATCTTCAGTATTGATCAAATGTTTGTCTTGGCGGCGATCATATCTTAAGTATTGATCAAATGTTTGTCTTGGCGGTGATCATATTTTCAGTATTGATCAAATCCTTGCCTTGGCCGTGGTCATATCTTCAATATTGTATAAACAGATGAACTATCTGCAGTAGATCTACAGGGGTCGGTTGTACGAAAGATGGATAGCGCTATGTCCACTGGATGGTGATTCTTTCAAGCTTTCTTAAATTGGCCGTTGACTAGCGTAGCCCAATTTAAACTTTAGTATATCAAATTTAAAGTTTCTTTCTATTAATTGTGAGATCATATTCGTAGTTTTATGACTTTCCAAGTATTTTACAACGGTTGCAAAATGGCTATGCCGCTTCGTACAACTGACCCAGAACTTATATTTTGGATTCTACTTCCTCCGCCACGACGACCCCCTCCCACGCCGTCCTCTGCCCTTTCCCTTGTTTCGATCTGACTGACCTTTATCATCAGAAAATGAAAATTGTTTATGATAGTCAGATCCTTCCTGTATTGGTTTGAATGTTTTTGATGTTGAATCTGCTTCGTTGTTTGTTGACCAAGTTGTTCCTTCAGCCAGGTCTGGTAAAGGAAGCCTGAGGAAAATTTGTAGTAAAATAATGCATTAATGCAATGAGGTTCAGACTCGGCTTCCACTACCAGGTTTAATACGCACTTAATTAAACTTGATTGGTTAATCTCAAAACAACAATTTAGTGCTGATTTCCTTTTTGACATGAAACTGGATAAAATAATTCTACCTGGAATGTGATGTTGTGTTTTCGTCTGTTCCATCAGACTGAGAATTTTGTGACATAGATGACATCATTGAGAAATTAGAATCTGTGGAAAATAAAACACCCGAGGTAATGTTTGCTGCAATTTTTAACACAGTTTTTTACGATACATTCCATTGGGCGCGCCTCTTATAATTATTAGACTTCCCAAGCGTACCTTTCTCTTCGTCTTCTTTCGCCTGTCTTGCAATCTCTTCATTAACATGTTCGGTAAATTGCAACCGAGGAATATCTTTTCCACAAATAAAACAATGTACTGTACCAATTTCGTCCTCTGAAGAAACCTTGACTTTCTTTGGATTACTCTTGACATTTCTATCCTTTTTCCTTTTACGACCTTTATAATCAGTGGCCATCAGAGACAATGCACTCATTTCGTCATCAGCTTCCATACTCTAGAGTATTCAATATCGAGCAGTCAGTGGAGGTAGTAGCCTGTGTGCAGACGTTACGTCTGTGGCTGTGGAGGTAGCGACGATCACAACTGCGAATTGAGAGAGATACGTTTCGAGCCAAGGCCTTTGGTCGAGGTCTCGATAAAGGGCCTGCGCCGGGATAAACGGCCTGCGCCGGGATGAATGGCCTGCGCCGGGAAGAAAGGCCTGCGCCTCCATAAAGGGCCTGCGCTCGAAACATCGAAGTTCTGCTTTTATTTTCCCGGTTATTTTTACGGAAAACCTGCTTTACGCTGGGCTTTTTATGACCATAGTCACATGCATGTATATGTGTTAACTGAATCCAAACTAAACTAAACTTTATTTATACTGAATAGCTTTATCAGTTTAGGACGGCAACGCGACGACGACGGCCAAAACAAATTCATTCTAATAACGTATTATAAAGAAAATTTGCACTGTATGAATTTAATACAAGGTGGGCAAGTAAAAGCAGGGGCTTTATGGTTGTGAGGATTTCCACTTCAGTATACTGAGCCAATCTAATGACCTCCTACATCGTAAGGAACCTAATTACCACAGGAAGGAGCACCACAGTGAAAGGCATATGGTGTTTGGAAGAGTGGAATTCGCCTTTCTCAGGAAGGCCAAAATCCGTCATTTTTGGGGTAGTGTCTGCCCTCGTAAAATATTCTAGACAATTCAAACAACGTGAAAAACGACTTCTAAAAGTTGTAACTGTAAATTTATCATTATACAACACAATACTAAAAAGTTGTATTTTGTGGTGTGGAGACTCTCAAACGTGGGAGAGGCTGTACCCCTTAAAATGGGGGGAAATCGAGCGTGAGAAAGGATAATTGGAAGCACTCTAAGGCAAAATCAGACAGTTATATTTTCAACTCCAGACCTTTCTTTTCGAGGCAACAGGTTTCTTTGTAATGAATTCCTCATCTGATGATTCTGTAGATTCTGCATCCACCAGTGAAAGCACCTTGTGAACATCTTTTGAAGGGATCTTTTCATTCTGCGTAATCAAAGTAATGGTGTAAAATTCATTTATCTGAATGCCGGATCAACCAGCAAACAGAATTCATGCTTCAATTTTGATGCACAAATTGTCCTGACTTCGAACAGCAACTCAAAATACGAGTTGACCCAGAATACTGTTTGCGGTCTGCCGTCAACGTCGATCATAAGGTCTCTAACTACGTCACAAATACAATTCATTGGCCTGGGAGCCTCGCTCTCATGACTTAAGATGAAAAGCTATTCGCTCATGAGTCATGAGGGTGTGCTAAAATCAATGCACTGATTACTTGATTCGATGTATACCATCATAAAAACCATCACTTACCTCTTGCTCGACAAATTCTAGAGGAAGAAAATCCTTCTTCAAGCAAGCGACATCCGGCCATGAGCTCTTCTCCAAATTTTTACCTAAAAATCAACATTATACGAAGTAAACGTCAGTTTTCACGAAATATTCATATTGTTGTCTTATCGTTTAGTCTTTTCTTTTATGAAAAAAGAAATGAAGTTCACAAAGTTCAATTGAGAAAACAAACAAACGTACGTGTATTACTTAAACGCCTTCGATGCAACCTGTTTCAAACAAAAACAAATTAGATTCTCAATTTATCAGGAACATAGGAGAGGGAAGGGGGAGATTCTTGTCACCTATTCGTGGGTCGCTATAAAGAATCACTACCTTAGTAAGGCCCATGAATTAGGATAAGCAATTTTTAGTCGGAGAAACTCGTCAATATAACAACCGAGATACAGCGGAGGTGTGATTTTCCAACAAATTTGTAGAAAACCTTTTTCATGCAAAACTTTCTACACTTTGCCAGCAAACGTTCGTTGTATAGTACGTATATTCTAATAGATTGTCACGACTCTCGGAACAAGGCAAGAAAGAGGCAGCCTCCTCTCCTACACCCTAACAAATGAAAGACACTTACGTTTGGTTTATGCTCTGTCGAGGTGTTGATTCGTTCTTTTCATTCTCTTTTATATCAGTTTGCTTTCTTTTTGTCATTGATTCCCCACACTTCATCCCTGCAGTCTCAACATGTTTGAGCCGAATCCTAGGCTCCAGGGGAATTCGTTTCTTATTCACATTAGCTTCCCCTGTCCTCTTAACTTCCTTGTTTTCAACTTCTTTTGCTTTCGTTTCTACATTTGCTAATAATTTAAGTTCTTTAACTTTTGTTGGAGTTCGGGTTTTTATGACAGGAGACATTTGACCATCCTGGACATCAACCGTTCTAAGAACAAGGTTCGAACCTTGATATTATAATCCTGGACATCAACCGTTCTAAGAACAAGGTTCGAACCTTGATATTATAATCCTGGACATCAACCGTTCTAAGAACAAGGTTCGAACCTTGATATTATAATCCTGGCTAAGTGAAATGTCTCCGCTTCACCTCGGCTCATTAATAGGGAGCGAATCTAATTGTGTGAAATTTTTTCTCAGCTGCAAGTGAGACGAATGCTTCCAGATTGCTTTATGAGAAGCCTCGTTTCCTGATTTAGTCTAACTGTCGTGAACATATCAAGGTGATCGATGTAATAGAGTGTGGATATATCTCTACAATCAGTGTAAAGAGTGATTTGCATACAGCATACAAAAGAGATCCAGACTATTTCACATCGTCGATAATGACTTGGCCACGACAGTTATGGCCAAATAGAAACAAGCTTTATTAAACAATGCAGCTCTTTCAACATAATCTGGTTTCAACATTCTCTCAGTCGACACATTTGCTACACAATATCATATTCTACTGGAAAAAAATGACCACAGTTGTTAACAGGTCTTATTTTGCAAATCCAAGTCACGTCAAGTCATGTCATTTAGTCGGAGTCAAGTCATTCACTCATACAACTCTGAGCTACACAGTGATGGCGTCAGTCAGTGGCAGTCAAGGAGTTTTATTTGTTTTCAACTACAGAAACGTATACTGTACACGCTTACCACACACCCGAAAGGCCATGTTGCTTTGGAAATTTAAGCTTTCTGTATATAGGCAACGTTTACATGCCCGTAAAAGAAGTGAAATATTGTAACCTGTTCAAGATCTCAACATACATCTAAACAAAAGTCGTGCTTATGCCGATGTGAGCAATGATTTGTAAGAAAACCTGTAGAAAGAAATGATAGCAAATCTACACAATAAACTCTCTATCGATAATAACATCTTTTAAAATTTAGAATAAAAGTGTGAAATTATATTTTAACATAATGTGTAAACTTCTTACAGTTTTTCCCTAAAGAAAAGTTTGCTAATAGCTTTAAGACAGTCACACTGTGAGAACTCAACCGACTTTTGGTTTAGATGTATGTTAAGTAATACATTAGGAAGCGAATAAGGGATTGTAAATGCTTTCATTTTCGTAATTATGCGGCCAGAAAAGCTGATAATTTCGCGAAATATATCAGAGAGCATAATCATTGTTGATGATTATGCGTGTGACTGTAAAAAAGCGAATGACACAATTTCGTGCATTGAGATTATTTTAAATTCGCAAGTTACTGTAACATGCATCTAAGCCAAAAGTAGCCTACAAAACAGGTCTTCCTGACAGCTTGCGGGTCTCTCCCGACCTGCAAGCGCATGCTCCGCAGCCAAAAGCACACGACTAATTGAGCCCACAAGCATGCAACATTTACCTGACAGAACTTGTTGATGCTTCATCTACGCCATTACAAAGAAAGGCGTGGTGATGAATCGTGTCCTTGGGAAATTCCTTATAACACATTGGACATTCGATACACTCCGGTGTTTGCTGACGTGATGGTTCCTTAGCAACCGTTGTAACTGCTTCAACAACTACACAATCTGCTTCCTCTACTTTGGGTTCCTCCGGAAACACGGGTCGTTGGAAATTAAATTTTTGTAAATCATCATCACTACTTGCTTCTTCCAAGATGGTTTTGCGACGTTTCTCATCCAGAACCGGTTTAACTGGGCTAGAAGTTTCATTTTCCACAGTTTCCTTGACAACCTTTCTGTTCACAGTCCCCATTGGAACGTTTTCGTTCACGGTTTTCATGTCAACGTCATTTTCCACAGTTTCCTTGACAACCTTTCTGTTCACAGTTCCCATTGTAACGTTTTCGTTCACGGTTTTCATGTCAACGTCATTTTCCACAGTTTCCATAACAACCTTTCTCTTCACAGTCCCCATTGTAATGTTTTTGTTCACGGTTTTCATGTCAACGTCATTTTCCACAGTTTCCATGGTAACATTGCAGTTCCTAGCTTCCGTAGCAACATCATTATTCACAGTTTCCATGGCATCGTCGTCGGTCGTGCTGACGTCAGCATGTTGCGCTGGCCTGGAAGTGGTCCTATCTCTTGATGTTTCAGCAGTTTTTGATGTTGTTCTTGGGGAGACCTTGGCACAAACACCATTCGTCTGTTGTTTGCTTGCTGTCGGCGTTTCTGAGTCGAATGGATCCACGATATGCACAACTTCAGCAGCTAAAAATATGGGTTGAATACTTCAGATGTACTATTTGATTCGGACATTCTACCATTATGATAGTATTAAAAGTACTCGGAGAGGAATAGTATTTAATAGAAATGTTTTCTCTGACAAGAACCAGGGTGACTCTTTTTGTTGGGAAAGAAACTCCACAGCCTCTAATGTTTAAACCCAAGTTACGCAAGATGTATTTTACTTTATTGCACTATCCAATTACCTGAACGTGTTGGTTCCATTGCTGCCAATATCTCGCATAAAGCAGCGACAAAAGGATCGTTATCTTTTTTGCGTTCCGCCCATTTTTTGTAATGTGGCACAACGCTCTTCCTTTTCACCCGCGCACCAACGCGACCACGTGACCGTCCTGAGACTGGATCTATCGCTTTGGAATGCAGGGGACGAATAAGTGACCTTAAATCAGATTGCACACGACATAACCTCCGTCGATAACTCTCGAACTTGCGAACAATTACTGGTGTATACAAGACAGGGTTTACATGTCTTGGAGCATAGTAGAAATTATTTCTGTCTGATTCTTCTACAGTTTCGCGTGTTGACTTTTTGTACACCCGGGGTAAACATAGCTCCTAAAACAAAGTGAAATTTTGTTGAGATATCTCGCATCATCGGTAGGACAGTTCACTAGGACTAAAACGCGAATGAGAACGCAGATTAAAATGCGTTATGAAAGCCAATAGCAATGATTAAGGTGTTTCAAATCAACACAAAATACTAGACAATCTTCTGGTACGTACTGTGGGTTGTTACGCTTGGAGAGTAGCTTGTTGAAGATGGTTCCAAAAACGGACAAAAGTTTTATTGAAACAACATGGGCAGACGTTTATACTGAACATGCATTAAAATAAACATGTGTTGCAATTTGCAGCAATGTTGTTGCTTGCATTTGCTTCGTTTTCATACCTTGTCATGTTCAATTTTTGGATGTTCTGTTTTGGATAAAGCTTCATCTTCATTGACGACTCGTCTTTGTTTATTGCTGGTGTTGTTTATTGAAGCTTGACCAGATTCTTCAGATACTTGTCTTTTTCTTCCCAAACTCAAGCGACTTTTGTCCTTCATGTTCCTTAGCATAAATTCGTATAGACAGCTTTTATCTCTAACTTTGTTATAAGTTTAAAATGTTGTTTGTTCAAATCATTTCCATTTTACTTACTTTGTACGTTTTTCCTTTTCCAAGCCTATAACAAAAACGCATTTTTGGTATCATTACAGTTTAATGTGAAAAATAAAGAGAGTTCTGATCCTAAATCCAGTGGTGGAAATTTCAGTGGGGATCAGGGGAGGGCTGATTTTGAGTGTAAGGGGGGGAGGGGGGTTGTCAGAAATTTAAAAGTTGGTAATTCAGGAGTCTTATCCCCCCCCCAAAAAAAAAACACCTTAGAAGAGAATTTCTAACTCTGCCACTGCCAAAAACCAATTCACATTAAATACAGTAACAAAATTCACATTATTTTAAAAAATTAATTGTTTTCACAGCTGTCAATGAACACAAAAATATTTGCATAGTGGGACTAAATCGTCAGGTTGGCTACGCTACTGTGCTTACTAGTTTTATCCACAATCTCATAACAATCACTGTCGTCGTCTTCTTCATCCTCATCTTTCCTTTGCTAGAAATTGAGGTCAACATTTTACTCTAGATACTGTACCATCTTATATTGTATTGCACTGTATTTACATTAAGATAAACAGCACATGGCTGTCATTTCAGTATTTTACTGTTTGTCTCATGAAACTAGGTCTATTTAAAATGGATAATATCGATAGTTCATCAGTTATAGATTGCTCTCCCTGGAATTCCAGTAAAGGTGTAGATCTTTATTCATCAGTCTTTAATATTAAATGTGTGTAATGTTTGAGAGATCTTCTCACATATTAATTAAACACCAACAAAGTACAAAAAGGTAACCCTTGCTCAGAGCCTGAAATAATGGCAAAAAATTGTCAGGAAAAAATTGTATTGGTAAAATACATTGGTAACATTTTTTAGTATCAATATTCAGTATTTTCCATATCACAACAGCTGACATACTATACCTTGTCCTCCTGAGAGAATAAGATTGGTGAATCAGAGAAGTCTGGAAATAAAAAATATCACATTTTGCACTTAATATGGATATAGAAAGTATTGAAAGTTGTTTTATGACTGCAATACACTGCATATGAGACTCTTTGAAGCATATGTTTTATGAAAGGGTGTATAAAAAATTTTTATCATAATTTTATATTTATATTTACTCATCTTTAAAAACAAACCTTGGGTATCCATTTCTTCAAACTCAGAACATTGTGCTACCTCCGTTTCTTTCTAAACAATGATTAAATATTACAGAAATCACCAAACTGTGGAATCGCATCTACATATTTTTGCATGTTTACAATTCTAATTTTAAACAGCCAATCCAGTTCGTGGTAACAATTACAATTAAATGTCAATAGACCTTTCCCCATATGTATCGATCAATTCGAAACTTCACCATCCCCCCCCTGGGCATACCCCGGGAATTTGACTTCAAGTCTTCTCCAGGGAGTAGCGAATTTGACATTCTAGGTCTTTCATGTGGTGGGGCATTTGATAACGGGGTGGGGAATTTGAACCGGAAGTCTTAAAATTTTGCCCGTTTTCACGTGCTTCCTGCATGCACAGAAAATACTTCGCATTGGCGGCAAATACAGTTTTCTCAGATTTCAAGGGAAACGGCCTCAATTTTGTGAAAAACTGGCTCAAAGAAATGGGTATGGAAAATCTATGTGCTTCATTTGAAGGTATATGTACTATTAAATTTCCACAAGGTATCCAAACTTTTTACGTGAATTTTGCTATCTTGTCGAAAAACATTTCGTATATTTTGTACTTTTTGTATTTACTGTTTCATAATTTTCATATGAAGGTGGGGCATTTGAACGCTTAATTTCTTGTTACAGTGGGGCGTTTGATGACATTTTTTGGAAAGGGAGTGGAGAATTTGATCCGTCAAATTTCAAAAAGTTCAAATTCCCGGGGTCGGCCCGGGGGGGGGGGGTGAATTTTCGAATTAATCGATACATTATAACAAAAATTTTGATCTAGGCAAGTCTAGACAAATATTTCATCACAGCTTGAAAGAGCATCACAAAATTAGTAATATTCCAAAGTTTCATTGTGAAATGTTGTAAAATGAGGAAAATAGAGCCTTGCAAAGTTTGCAATTTTCAGTCATTTTGTATTACAAACGGGAAATTGAAGCCCCAACACCCGAATCGGATGTCAATTTCCCATTTGTAACACAAAATGACTGAAAAACAGCAAATTTCGCAAGGCTATATTATCCGCATTTTACAAGATTTTGCAACAAAACTTTGGAACATTACTAATTTTGAGATGCTCTTTCAAGCTGTGATGAAATTTTTGTCCAGATCAAAATTTTAGTTATAAGGGGAAAGGTCATACGCTGTTTAAAATTAGAATTGTAAACATGCAAAAAGATGTAGGTGTGCAAAAGGAAAAGCCCTGGGAACGAGGTTGGTAGGTGTGGTCGTAGATGTTTGTGTGAGTGACAGCAATTATATGTTGAGCTATGGCTTGCTTACAGGTAAACTATGTGAAGCGTTCCTCTTTTGACTTCGTAACTCATTTGCAATTTTCCTCATTAGCTTTGCAAATTTAAAAAACTCTTTGCAAATCCCTTGAGGGAATTTGCAATGTTCCTATCGGCTGTTGCAATATTCCAATGCAAACAAACTTCATTTTAAATTTTCCTAACTTCCTGTTTTAATTTCCTAACTTCCTGTGCTGTTCTGGGCGTTGTTATTGGTCGATTATTTTTGTTAGCCAATTGCAACGCCCAGAACAGAATAGGAAGTTAGGAACTTGTAACAGGAAGTTAAGAACTTCTAACAGGAACTGAGGAGAATTTAATTGGCTTTTAGCAACATTGTAAATTTCCTAAAGGGATTTGCAAGGGAGTTTTTTAAATTGCAAAAGAAATAAGGAAAATTGCAATCAATTTAGAAACTCAAGAGAGGAACGCTTTACGTAGTTTACCTGTAACACAGTGTCAGTTCGGTGAGTTCCGTAATAGACGTGAAATGGAACTTTAATTTGCATAACATTAAGCATTACAAAACTATCATCCAGGTGTGAATATTAAATGATGGTCCATATAGCAGGTCTATACAAGACTATGTACATTTCTAATCAGTTAAGTGTGATTTACATAAAGCATACTAAAGGTAAGATAGATACTGAGTATTTCATATCAGTGACCACGACTTAACAATTGGTCAGCAATCAAATGAAAACCAGATTTCTAAACACGTGGGCTGGTTGGCAGCGACCAGCATGCCAGAACTGTTCACAAAAATTGCTTTAATTGATTTAATTCAAAGTCTCAAGCCACCTTTGGTTTTACCTCTTTACATTCTTCATTGCTTTTCATCGCTTCTCTAAAGAAAATTTTAAATGAGACAATAATTATACAGCCACAAAGGAAAATGAAAGTATTTAATATAAAATATTTGCACTTCGTTGCTGTATTAAAATGCCGTATATAAATATATGTAAAAAACTTATACCCTTCCTGACGCTTGTCACCAGTAGAACCACGTCCAATGACTTCTTTTAGTTTTGATACAATAAACATCACAATAAAACAACAAAGATGTCCATAAATATATTAAAATATCTAAAATGATTTACAGTTTATATTTGGAATCTTCGTTCTGGACAAATGGAACTACCAAAGCCAATACGTTGCACCTACATAAAGTATTTAGCATCATTGTGCAGAAATGAGCCCACTATACCATTCCAAAAATAAAATCTCGAAAAAAATTTTAAAAATCAAAGTTTATAAAATGATATAATTCATTAGCTGGTGATGTTATGCATTGGAGACAGTCATGGAGTAGACTACGCCAAAGATCGGTATTTGTTAAAACGTGGATGCATTACCATTTTAACCTTTTTAGGTAGTAGACGAATAGATGATAGGCTTTAATACCTATGACAGTATGACTAAGAGAAACTGGGGGATATGCCCCCCCCCCCCCCCCCCCCCCC